ATGTCAGGCTCCTTCAGTGAGGCTGCAACGGGGACCCAGAGTCACTCCAGAAAGAGTTCTCGAGTGTAAAGACTCCCCTGCGAACCATCCCTACACCTCTGTGGAGAGATAGAACACTCATACTCTGAGCCCACAGATAAAGCGTCTGTCCAAAGCCTGGATTTCAGAGTCAAAATGACAATTTAATCAGTCCAAGATCTGAGTCACAGAAACTTCTAGAAGGTGAGTACACATAAGTGTCCATAAACCCTCAGACTGAAGATCTAAGACTGGCATCTACCTCAACCATGAATAGAGAAGGCATCACACAAAGACACTTGTGTGGCAGTGTCCTGTGGATGCTGAATCCAGTAGCGCGGGCAAGGGGCCGATTTGCAGGAGCCCCTCAACCTCAGGAAGCCCTTCAAATCCAGGCGCCCATTTCTCAGCCCCATCAACCTGTATGGACAACCAGCACAGGTGTGCATGTCAGAGCAGAGTCCAAAAGTATGGCCTCTTTTACCCAAAAGGTCACCTCACAGCAAGTCCCCAAGGACACTCCCTAAAAAGGGACATTCTTGAGACAGTTATCCTGCTGTGGATGCCCACACAGCCCTGGAGGCCCTCAGGAAGGGACCGTGAAGAGCCACCTTCCAAGGCTCATTTACACTGAGTTTATTTTTGCGTGTCCAGCAGACAGCTGACGGGCATCATCAAGGCTCTTAGGGATTTTAGTCTAATGGAAGGAGACGGAAGGAAATAGAATGAACAAGATGATTTCATGGAGCCAAAGAGCTAGACTGAAACAAAAAGGGACTTGCAGGGAGGTGTCCTGTAGATGGAGGTGGGTGGAATAATCCTTGGGTGAGGCCACATTAAAGGGAAGGCTCCAGTGAGTGAAGGAGTCAGGATGATGGGTCAAACAGAGACCAGGTGCTAGGAACATGGTAGGAACAGGCACAAAGGCCCTGAGGCAGGAAACCAGGTGACAGTCCCAGATCCTCAGGGAAACAGTCAGGAAAGGAGAGCTGAGCCCCCGCCCCTCGCTCTGGCTTCCAGTTCAGTGCTAGGATCTCTCTTTCCTGCTCTAGCTCCGGCTGCAAAGCCATCCAGCATTAGGTTCGGAGGCTGAACCAATAACTGAGCAACGACCTTGGACCTTCAGCCCCCCAGATTATGGACTGAATAAACATCTTTTCTTTGTAAGCAGTCTGCCACGGGTGTTTAGTTATAGTAATTGAAAACAAAACTCAACATAGTGTTTTCCAGTCATTCTCAAGCCTCAAAGATAGCATTGGAAACATTGAAAGCCATTGGGCAGCCCAGCCAAATGAGAAAATAGATAGTTGTACATTGTTTCCATTTGCTTTCAGTTTTCCTTCTGGCTTTAGAGCACGGGTTGACCTCTTGTCTCGGCTCCCCAGTATAGAGATACAGGTAGGATGCCTGGTTCACATTCTTTGCTTTGTTCTTATATTAGTGGAAGACTTTCTTCCATCAACTTCCTCAAAAAGACATAAAAAGGTTATGTGTCACATATTTGAAAATTCACATCTAAAAAATGCCTTAAATGAACCAGACACAATGGCATACACCTATAAGCCTAGTACCAAAGAGGCAGAAGCAGGAGGGCCATGAGTTCAAGATCAGCCTGGGCTATTTAGTGAGACCCTGCATCTAAAAATGAACAAAACCTAGGCACAGAGATTCACAGCTGTAATCATAACACTTAGGAAGCTGAGGCAGGAGGACTGTCACAAGTTCATGGCCAATTGGTACACACCTAGACCAGCCAGAATTATATAGTGAGACCCTCTTTCAAAAAAACACAAACTAGGGGCTGGAGAGATGGTTCTGTGGTTAAGAGTATTTGCTGCTCTTCTAGAAGACCAGAGTTTGATTCCCAGAACCCACACTGGGTGGCTCTCGAACACCTCTAATTCCAGCTTCAGGGGATCTGAAGCCTCTGACCTGGATCCAAGGCCATTGCATTCATGTGCAGACAGACAGACAGACAGACACACACACACACACATACACATACAATCTGTAATAATAAAGCTGGGTACAATGGCTCACACCTTTAATCCCATCACTTAAGAGGCAATGGTAGGTGAATCTCTATGTGAGTTCGAAGTCAGCTTAGACTGCACAGAAAGCCCCGTCTCAAAAAGAAAAAAGTAATAATCTTTTTAAAAAATCATTTCAAGCCGGGGCAGTGGAGGCACATGCCTTTAATCTCAGCACTCGGGAGGCAGTGGCAGGCGGATCTCTGTGAGTTTGAGGCCAGCCTGGTCTACAGACCAAGTTCCAGGACAGGCTCCAAAGCTACACAGAGAAACCCTGTCTCAAAACAAAGAAACAACCAAACAAAAAAAATCATCATTTCTGATGCCATAGGGGTTTGTTTGAGACAGACTCTCTAGGTAGCCTGGACCTAACTCACTATGTAGCTAAGACTGACCTTGAACTTGTGATTCTCCTGCTTCCCAAATGCCCCACCACCCCTTGTTTATGCACTACAGGGGACTGAACGAGGGCTCAGAGGGCTCAGGCATCCTAGTCAAGTACTCCGCCAAATGAGCTACATCGCAGCCCTGCTGCCTTAGTTTTAATGCGCAAGAGCATTTTGCAGAGGCAACAAACAGCCATGTGGTAACATCCTGTTTTCTTTTTCTGTCTGTCTGGGTGGTTCCTGCTAAGAACTTAACTGCATTGGACCATCCAGGGCTGCCAGGTCAAATGTAGGAGCAAGGCACTGGACCAGCTACTTTTGCTTTGCTGTGACAAAATACCACGCAGAAATGACTTAGGAAGGAAAGACTTATTTTGGCTCAGTTCCAGGGGGTCTCAGCTCATCACAGCTGGGAAGGCATGGTGGAGCAGCTAGTTCATGGCTGCAGGAGCCTGTGAGAAAGACTGTTCACATCATTGCGGACCAAGAAACAGAGAGCACAGCAAAATCCGGGGGCAGGTACCACCCTCACCCCTTAAGCTTCCACAGCTTCCCAGAAGAGTGCCACCAGTTGGGGACAAACATTTGAAACATGATACTAAGTGTGACTTCTTGGAGTCATACCACCACAAGCCACTAACCCCACTTGAACACTGGGAGGGCTCACTGTGTAAAGAGCTTCAGGGGTCAGCAATTAATGTCAGGATGTGATGGTCACTGTCCTTGTGAGGTCAAAGAGAGGATTTGCAAGGCCCTGCCTGGCGACTGGGTGGAAACCATGCCGCTATGTTTCCATCATTCTGTGTCAAGTGTCTGGGTCTTACAACTTTTTTTTTTTTTTTTTAAATCTCCCTCCAACTCCTATCTAATTCCAACTCCCCTCCTCCACACCAGCCCTTTTCCCTGACTCGTGACTCTTGGTTTTGTTTTCTGATCCATTTCACGTCACCAGAACAGTAGTACTCACTGGAACCTGGTAGTCTCTAGTGAACATACAGCTGAAGGCTATGGCTCCCCCTTTCCCTGGATCTACCAGTAGCAAATAGTCCAGCAGTGACAGGTAGAGTCCCCGCGTCTCTCCTCTAGCCGTGCCTGACTACGGACAGGCTCATTCTTGTGCAGACCCACTGTGGGCAATCACAGCTGCTGTGAGTTCCTATCTTAATGGCCATATAGTTGCCAGAAGATGTGTAACTCCAGTTTCAGGGAATCTAGTGCCTTCTCCTGGCCTCCATGTGCACTGTGAGCACATGGTGCGCATACATACATGCAGGCAAACACTCATATACACAAAATAAAAACATATTTTTGTTGTTATTGTTTGTTTTTTGAGATAGGGTCTTTCTGTGTAGCCCTGGCTGTCCTGGAACTCACTTTGTAGACCAGGCTGGCCTCAGAATCACAGAGATCAACCTGCCTCTGCCTCCTGAGTGCCGGGATTAAAGGCGTGCTGCTAAAATTATTATTAAAGGTATTTCCTGAGCTATGGAGATGAAGGTAAAGGTGTCTGCTGTGCAGGGGTGGCCACCTGAGTTCACTCCTCTCAACCCACATATAGATGAAATGAAAACAACTCCACAATATTGTCCTCTGACCTCTGTACACATACCATCATGGCATAAGTGTGCCCAAATAGGCACACTAATAACAAGTGTAAAAAAAAAATTTAAGGCAGTTTGGAAAAATAAGTTTCCACTGTAGTGGTTCTGTTTCTACCTCCTTACAACTTTAAAATTTTGCCTAATATTTTAATTTTGAAAGAGATTCACAACCAACAAAGAGGTTTAGCAAGCAACAAGAAAGACCTAGAGATGATGAGGTAGAGGCTGAGGGAAGCTTCACAGATGACACTGGCCCTACCTGATCTAAACGACAGCAGCTGCTCAGGCAGAATGTTCTCCGTGTACAAAGAATAATCACGTACCCACAAAGACTGTAAGGGAACCCCAGACTTCCCCATCACAGAGCTTAGTACCCACACCCAACTGCCTATTGCCTGGAGAGAGGGTGTCTTAGTTACTTGTCTATTGCTGTGGCAAGACACCATAACCAAGGCGAGCTGTAGGAGAGTTTATTTGGGGCTCACAATTTCGGAGGTCAGAGTCCATGACCATGATGGTGGGGAACAGGCAACAGGCTGGCAGGCACTGTGCTGGGGAAGCTGAGGACACACATCTTGAGACACAACCATGAGGCAGAAAGAGACACCAGGAATGGCCTCAACCCCTGCTCCCAGTGACACATTCCTCCAGCAAGGCCACATCTCCTAATCCTTCCCAAATAGTTCCACAAACTGGGGACCAAGGATTCAAACATATACCATTCTTCTTCCAAGTCAACGGCCCCAAAAGAGAATCCTAACTTGATCTTGTGATCATCCAAGACTCTGTAGACTCAGAGGTCCCTACTTAATGCTGCTACCCGCTACACACTCAGGCCCCATTCGCTTTCTTTGAGAATGCTCATCCCACAGACAAGTCAGAGAGGGTCGATTTTCTTCCACAATCCTATCTGTAATACAATATCTCTTCCTTCCTCTACGTATCTCTCCCTTCCCCCAACCTACCTTTTTGGGATGGGCCAAGAAAGACGACCAGCCAAGGCCCTTCTGCCTGGGAGATTAAAGGGGCTTTGCCATCAGTGAACTTCATCCCACTTTTGGGGACTCTCAGCTCCTCATATGTCTGAAAAGATGAGAAGAGGAAAGAACATTTTAAACACAGAATTTCAGAAACCAGGCATGGGATATATCTCAGGGCAGTGGGTATAGCTCAGTGGGAGTCCTTGCCTAACATGCAAAAAGCCCCCATCACCGAAGGGAGCCATTTCATCTGTTTCCCTTCTTGTAAACCAATCCCATGTTGCTGGGTCGCCCCTTCTCACTACCTGTGTCAGTGGCACCCCAGCTCCCTGTGATGGCACAGAAGTATTTCCAGACCTGAAGCAGGGGCATACAAACAGGTGACTCGGATGTTTGTTGGTTTTCTTTTCTTTTCTTTTTTTAGAGCAAAGTTAATTGATCTGAGCCATGCCTGAGTTTGAATTTCATCTCATGGCTGCAGAAGAAGTAGGCTCCTGAACTTTAGACCTTGACTCTCCATGTAGATCTGCTTTCAAAGCCAAGACTAAAGGAAAAGTCATCCCTGTTGGGCTAGAGATGAAAAGGAGGGCTGTGAGAAGAGGAGAGCACCCCTACTAAAACCTGACCCCTAAGAGGGGGATAACAGACACCCTGGTCCTGGGCACATATGCAGTGGAGCAACTTAAGCCTCCATCCCATTAGGTAGAGTGGGAAGGGCTGGTGAAGAGGCACAGAACACACTCACAGACTACTGACTTCTCCCTAAGACAAAAGCAAAGCCCATAGGAGTCCACTAGAAGCAGTGTGCACTGTAAACACACATTTCCCAGGGTCCAAGCTGAAGTCCTCTAGTCGGCCAGCACAGGCCCTGAAAGGATGCTCAGCAAGCCTGCTGCAGGAGCCTGGGTGGGTGTGAATACACCCTTCAGTTCGGCATCCACGAAGGACCACTAGGGCTTTCCAAGAAACTATCAGCAGAGGCACTCCAGGCTTTGGCCAAAGACTAAAAGAAGAAATAACTTACATGCTGACCAGTGAAAAGAGCAACAGTAGTAGGACGGACCATGGAACCTGAAGTGAGTGCAGAAAGAAAGCGCTTTGAAAACCGGAAAGACAAAGCAGAAAGCATGATGGAGCTCAGAGGATTGCATCCTCAGGAATTCAGGACGGGAGATAAGGAGCCAGGAAAAAAATGCACCAGGGTTCGTAGGAAGGAGTAAGTTCCACGGCGGAAGATGGACAGGAACTCCAGGCCTGGGTATGATTTCTGTTAGCCCCTCTTGGTTCAAGGGCAAAGCTAGGGAGGGACGGATCGTGCCGACTGCTGGGCTGGGAATCGGGGACAGGGGGAGGGAGGGACGGGGGAGTGCGCACCCGAACTGCTTCGGTTCCTGAGAAGTAAACAGCTCAGCTCCTCCTAAGCAAACGCGACCTCGTCCACCCTGGTCTGGAGCCCACTGAGCGTCCGGCTCATCCCACCAAGGGCGGCAGAAGACACACCCAGGATTCCATCCTCATAGTCACAAAAAGATGCAACTCAGCACTCTCCCACCACCACCATCACCACCACCACCACACACAGAGACCAGGGAATCCCAGGCAGGCGACCCTATGTAAGGGTCGACTTCTCCAGTGGGGTGCTATTGCCTCTGATGCTCCTGCCTCTCCTAAGCCGCTCCACCCTGGACTCCTGATGACCTCCTGCCCTGCCCACCCAAACCCAGGCCGACAAAGCCCAGTGCTGGGCGGGGCAGAGCATCTGGCCAGTGCGGGTGGGGGGAGGCACAGGGACCCCACAGACGCCCGCACAGGTGGGTTTCGTACCCGGTGTCGGTGGCAGGGGCGGGCTCCGTCTCCCTGGAGACAGTTGCCCAGGGGACACGGCGGGAGGGTCCCCGAGTGACCGGAGGGCGCCAGCCTCCTGGCGGCCGTGTGCAGCCCGCAGGGGTAGCCGTGAGTGAGCGAGCGAGCTGGGCATCGGCGGAGGGGCGCGGCCGGGGCGGGGCTCAACAACGGGCTGGAGAGGGCGGCCAGGCGGGGCGGGGCGGGGCGCGGCCGGAGGCGGAGCATCCCCGGGATGGGGCGGGGCCAGAGCCCGCTGCATCACTGCACAGTCCGCAAGCGTTAACACCCCAGGTTTGGGGAGGAGGAAGGAATAGCCGCCTGGGTGGTATGAAGTGGAGACACCTTGGTTACTCTTGCAGGAAGCCAGGGGCTAAGGCAGGGGTCTTCAGGGTTCTCCTCATCTCCCCACCACGGAGCCCCAGAACAGCAGAATGATCTGAGATGACAGGCATAGGCAGTCCTGGCTAGGGTCTCTTACAATCAGTGGATAGAAGGCGCTATTTATAAAGGGAGAGCTATCCAGGGTCTGTCTTTCTTAGTTCGTCTTTTTATGGCTGTGATAAAAAAAAAAAAAAAAAAGCATGACAAAAAGCAACCTGAGGAGGAAAGGGTTTATTTGGTTTACATATCCCGGTCACAGTCTAGTGGGGGAAACCGAGGCAGGAACCTAGAGGCAGGAACTGAAGCAGAAACCATGGAGGAATACTACTTAGAGGCTTACTACTCTCCATGTCTTGCTCATTCTACTTTCTGAGGGCCACTGGGGAACACCTGCTCAAGTGTGGCACTGCCCCCAGTGAGCTGGGTCCCATCAATCATTAGTCAAGAAAATACCCCACAGACTTACCAATAGGCAATATGTGAGAGGTGTTTTCTCAATTGAGGTTCCTCTGCCCAGATAACTCTGGGTTGTGTCAAGTTGTCAAAAAACAAAACAAAACAACAACAAACCCCACCTAACAGCACTCTTCCCCTTGGTTCCCAGGGCATCACCAGGAAGGGCAGAACACTCAAACCTGAGTCAGACCTGGAGTTGCTGTCCCCCAAGTATTCCATGAGTCTGGACTCTGGGCTCAGATCCAGCATTCTGGTTGTGTCTGTCAGGGGAAATCCCCCACACGGAATTAAAAACAAGTGACTTATCCAAGACTTTCACTCACACATCTAAGTTCCTTCCAACAGCTATGCTGTGCTAGATGGAACCCCTATGGTAGCAGCTTTTGTTCTCCCTGGGGTGGTAAATGAGGAAACCCAGGGTACTGTCCCATGTACACACAATCCTCACAGCTTTTCTGTTATGCTTTGTTTTAGTACTGGGGAATTGCATTTAGAGCCTCGAGCGTGCTGGGTAAGCACTCTATCATTGAGTTATATCCCTAGCCCTTTATAATTTTTTTTTTTTGAAACAGGGTCTCAATGTGTAGCCCCGACTGGCCAGGAACTCATTACATAGACCAGGCTAGCCTTGAACTCAGAAATCTGCTTTCCATTGCTTCCCAAGTTTTGAGACAGTCTCACTAAGTTGCCCAGGTTGACCCTTAGCAGTTGGGGCTAGAGGCCCAGTTCACACAGCAGAACTAGTATGGAACCAGTTTGGTTCTGCACTGGACCCATGAACCTCCTGTTTTGCCCTGTCCTCTTACCATGTTCTTAGAATTAATAATCCTTTGTAGCTGGGTGGTGGTGGTGGTGGCGGCGGCGGCGGCGGCGGCGGCGGACGCCTTTAATCCCAGCACTTGGGAGGCAGAGGCAAGAGGATCTCTGTGATTTCAACGCCAGCCTGGTCTACAGAGCAAATTTCAGAACAGCCAGGACAACACAGGGAAACCCTATTTCAAAAAACAAACCAACAAACCAACAAACAAACAAAAAAGAGTCCTAGGAAGGTCCCTGGAGTTCGTGAAAAGTGAAAAGACAAAAGCCTAGCCAGAAGTTCCCAGGAATTGCTAAACCCAGCATGGGAGGACTAAGCCAGGATGAGAGGACCAGGATGTGGGAGGTCCCCAGGCTAGAGTCAAAAAGCCCAGGCCAGGAGCTTCCCACGGCCCCCAGCAGCCCTGCCTGGGGCCTTGGTGCTGGAGCACCCTAGGAGGAGAGTTAGACAGGCAGGATGCAATTCATTCCCAGTATCATGTCTAGATGTCCCACATATCTTCACTCTTGGCATGGTGGCACTTTAATCCCAGCACTCAGGAGGCAGAGGCAGGTGGATCTTTGAGAGTTCAAGACCATCCTTGTGTATAAAGGGAGTCCCAGGCAGTCAAGGCTACAGAGTGAGACCCTGTCTCTAAATAACAAAACAAAAGCAACACACCTCCCCGGGTGCTATTTATGTAAACACACTGGCTGTGTTTGCCCCGAGGATTCAAGCGACTGGCTGTGCTGCTCACAAACTGACCTCTGCAGCAATTGGAACCAGGGTCACTGGGTGTGGCCAGCCTGAAGATCGTATGGGGACCGCCGCAGGGTCCTGCCCCCCTCTGTGCCTGTAAGCAAGTCTGGGAGCAGAGCCATCTTCTGTGGGCAACCTGGAGATCCCGAGCCCACCTAAATTCTCCAAGTGTGAAGCCTGGGTCTCCTAGGCCACTCAGACCCCAGAGCCCAAGAAAAGTCATGACTCTGTCTTGAAGAGTAGACAGGGAGGAGGGGAATTCAGACAGCCACCTGGGTGCAGAGGAGAGATACCTCTCACAGGCTAATGAATACCACTGTCAGCCACCAAAAAGATTTTCCAAAGCAGAAAAACTCCAAGGTCCTCTACCCTCTCTTTTCCATGTGTGGGGGCTCCCTGCACTCCACAGGAGCCATGCATAGTGTTTCCCTTCCCCCCAATTCCACTTTTTTCTGATGGAGTAGGCTGAGTAAATTCCAGACTCAATGACAAGATCCCCATTAACAATGAACCCCAGTGACTGGCTTGGGGTACAAACTGAACAGTCAGGTACTAATTTTTTTTGGAGTCCGGGTGGGGGTGGGGCGGGAAACAGCAAGATTTCTTTGAAATGGCAAAACCCACAAAAAAGGTGACATGTCTGTATCACAAAAATATGCTAGAACTGTGCTGGCAAATATGGGGAAGACAGAAACCATCCAAAACTTTGCAAAGTCCAGAGAGATGGCCCAACGGGTAAAGGGGCTGGTTCTGCAGGCCGGACAACCTGGTCTGCCCCAGAAGCCTTGTAAAGGTGGAAGGGAGAAGAAAGCCAACTCTACAAGGTGGTACTCTGACCTCCCCACACGCACAGCGGCCTGTGCCCCACTCCCGACAGTAACAATACAATAAAGTTTTCAAAAGCATTTCGAGAGAAGCCAGGCTTGGAGGTGCATGCTGTAAAACTTCAAAGATGAGGAAGGTACCCATTGTTGACCTCTGACCTCCACACGCACCCACACACACATGAACACGTATACACACTTAGGAGTTTCACTATTGTCAAAACTCAAGAGCAAATAGAAAAGTTAGATTTCCGCCCCTCTCCTCTGTTTGCTACTGCCAAAAGGAGCCAATTCTCTGTAAGTACTCTAGCCTAAGAACAGGAAACCAAATACTCCCACTCATGGGAGCCCTTGTTCCACTCAAGAAGTTTATTTGCTCCATCCATCACTCCTCCCCTCCTGTCCTGACACTTCCAGGTCACCATACTGTGATGTCATCCCACTTCTTTCAGCTGCCTGCCCATGTCCCAACTGCCTTGCTTCTTCCTTCTCAAAGTGGCATCAGCATTCCTAGGAGTGGTCAGACACGACAAGACTAGAGAGGATATTACCTTTAACTTTGTCAACCTGGCACAGCCCAGGGTTATCTGAGAAGGGAATAGATATGTGCATGGTGGATGGTCTAGATTGCCAGCCCACTACGGGTGGCACCATTCCCTGGGCAGGCGGTCCTGGGTTACATAAGAAAACTAGCTAAACATGAGCCTGTGAGTAAGCAAACTAGAGAAGAAAACCAGCAAGCAGCATTTCTCCATGGTTCCCTTGAGTTCCTGCCTTGACTTCCCTCAATGATGGACTGACTATGTGATGGAAATTCTTGGTTGTCAACTGGACTACATATGGAACTAAAGCCCCAAGGTGGGAGACACACCTTTAATGTGGGCCACACCTTCTGCTGGAAGCCTCTATGAGGGCATGGAAGAAGGAGGCTTTTGCTCTTTGACTGCCTGCTCTCACCTCACTAGCACATCCATTCCTTCACTGGCATTAGAGTCTACTTCTTCGGGATTCCAGCATCTACTGAAGCCTTGTAGACTGAGCAACTGCTGGATTCTTGGACTTTCTGTTCACAGCCAGCCATTGCTGGATTAGCTGGACTACAGCCTGCAAGTCGTTTTAATAAATTCCCTTTATATATAGAGAGATTCATTCTATAAATTCTGTTAATCTAAAGGGCCATGACTAATACACATCCTAATAATGCCACTCCCTGGTGACCAAGCATTAAATCTATGAGCCTATAGGAGCCATTCTTATTCAAATCACCACATGGGTGGTGGTGTTTGTCACAGCAGCAGAATGAAAGCACAGCAGGGGCTAAAGTCAGTGGGAAAATCAGATACAACTAAAAATAAAACTTGTTAAATGTGTATTTTAAATTCTAATAGGAAAATAGGAGGACAGTGCAGAATTATCCCCCCAAAGGGACAAGATTCCCTATTTATTTACATAATCTCACTATTGCCTTGTCCCCTTGATAGACTGTTTTGTTTCGTTTAGAAATAGGGTCTTTGCTGCAGCGCCCAGGCTGGCTTCTCGCTTCTGAGTGCCAGTGATCCTGCTGCAGCAGCTCACTGAGTAGCTGCGACTAGAGAGAGGTACAGGCCAGCCCCTGTGCGGCTCTGGTCTTTTGATACTTTTATGGGGGACCCTAATTACAAGAGCCCTTTCTCTCCCACCATCTTTACATGTTTTTATTAATCTTTGAATTCTCACCCTCCAGTTAACTAAAAATGTCACT